GTTTATCTTACACCGCGCTTTAAAACACACAGCAGTTGACAAAACTCAGCGACGCGACGTTCAACCTGTTGTTCATACAGCGCCCTGTAAGATAAACACCCATACCGGATCTCCTCAAATTACCGCTGCTCGCATGTTTTACATCCAGATATCTACATTCCTACTTATAAGGTAGATTCACGAAATACATATACAATACATTGTATTTATATGTAGGCGAACACGAGTTTAATGGCGAAAATTACTAGTAGCTTCACACACCCAGCAGCTTGATGGAGAAGATGTATAATAATAAAGTCATTACGATAATTCAACGTATGAATAATTGGCATTTAGTCTAAAATACTATAGTCAGGAAATATCACATCATGCTGTTTTGAACAAGCATTGAACCCAACAAATGAAGACCAAGAAATAAATGGTGTGCAAGTAGAATATTTTTTATAAAAATGATATGTTACCTTATGACCCACTTTTACTTACTAACATGTTACGGCACCGTTATATAAGTAAACGCCAAAAAAAAAGTGTTGATTGCTAACACGGTGAAATGACGCGAGCCTTTAGCGATGGCGACTGAATGTTTAAAAGCGGGAGAGTCGTCACCTGCGCATGCGTCAGACAGCCATAGCGTGTCATTGTTTACAAACAAGCGTCTACCCATGAGCCTTTGCGTTTTTAGCGTGTGTTGTTATCGTCGTTTGGGACTCAATTCCTGAGCGTGCGCAGGTGACGACCCACCCGCTTTAAATCAAGCGCCAGTATAGCTCTTGACTGTGACATGTGTGTAGTTCCGAAACACATACACACAATTTAATTCCCTTTTCTTGGCAATTGGATATGATAGAAAGGTTAATACCCGATATTAGTATTTCGTTAAGCTGGTTCATAGCCGTGGCGTCGTGGGATGTACTCGCCTTCGGTTCATTGGCGATATAGTCAATGACGTCACTCGTATCGGGCAATAACCTTCTAATACCCATTCTGATACCGTTTATACGTGGCCGAATGATTAGTACACGCCACAAATGTCTCATAGGCGACTGAAAAAATAGAATGAACGCACATGTACCCTACCAGGCGTCTATGCCGAGCAAACCCGATAGTGTTAAATAATTTATAGACAAAGCTATTACGCTAAATAAAAATGTAGTAGTCTTCATATTAAACTATGCTTAAATCATGACAACATCTTCCAAATGTACGACAGACTACGAGAAAGTCTTTAACACCCCATTTCTATGAAATATTAAAGAATGCGACATAAAGTCTGCGGGTGTATTTTACATTTCGATGCGATCGGTAAAATGAGCGTTATCGACCAAGGCAGTGGAGTAATCCGATCTCAGAATACACGTGATACTAAGACTCTGCATTACTGCGCCTTGATATAACCCGCTTCGGTACAAACGTCACCAATGCGCATTTAGTAGAGCTTTACACATATCCAACACATGGTGACAGAGTGATATTTTCACACTTTCCAAATGCCACAGGGCTAAGCCTGCTCATCGTGTTAGTAAGCACCAACGACGCCAGTTACGAAAGCCGTTCCAATACCCTCTTTAGTTTTTATTTCATTGTACAAACTAAGCCCTGAACACCGAAGCACTGATTGTAGTTTCCTAAAAAAAACGGCAATGAAAAACAAACGTTGTTATAAAGACGATAATTATACTACACATCCTCCTTGAAAACTGTTCACTAACCACACCAATCTGAGCTGGTTTTTGCTCCGTTCTGTATCACATGATATACATACAATCCTAATAACGGTTTGGCAGCGTAATGAAATGATTGCTTTTGGCAATCGGAGGTCTCACAAAGCAGACACATGTCGCGACGGCCCCGTGTAATTTTAGATTACATCCGTATTATTGCTACGTTTCTTTATCTGAAACGACATTCATAATGTAAAAATCCGGGCGTTGTCACACACAAAATTAACTTTAGAATATACCCTCCAATATAGTTTGATGGAAGTCCTGCTCAGTCGGCATATATCGACATTATTTTCCCCCTCTGGTATAGTGGATACGTTATTGCCACAGTACAAAGCAGATGACGGAAATGGTACATCAGATTAGCTAACGGGGAAGATATTTAATATTATTTCCTTCGAACTTTGTTATATGGGTGTTCAACTACTGTGATTAAAGTTCGCATGTACATACTTTTTACATTACGCATACTTAATGGAGAACGTAAATTGTTCATCTGATCCTATCCCATTTCAAAGACTATCTCTTCAATCATTTTACCTGACTGGCGTAATATACAACGTTTTGTCAATTCGTGAACATTCTTATTTTGCCGCTATTTTACAATTAGATAGTATTATGCTTATACCACATAATCGCTCTGAGCAGTGATCGATTTCTACTTCCTTATAAGGTCATATAAGTCACACGTATAGGTAAGAAACATCAATGTGCCATCAGCCATAATAGTAGTATAACAGAAACCAGTTCTTCATTTATAGATTACTTCCTTGTTCAGATTTACCCGCGCATCCACTGGACGCAGAGTTTGGGCGCCACGGTGGACATGCGACGCCTGCAACAAGCGTGAGAAAACATTTGAACGCGCGATGCGTGACGACTATTGCGCTTCAAACGTTATTTATCAACAACAACACTCTTTGTGATTTTAGATAAGTTCAGAACGAATTGTGTACGATAAAGTTAACTCAAATCGCAAGTTAAAATAGGACAAGTGTGCGCGCGTGATGTTTTAAGCGATCATTACGACAGAAACTTGAAGGCTCATTCGGGGTTTATTCCACGCGATCACTCGATTGTGCACAACATTTCCGCCAAACGACTGCGAATTCGAAGTTCGCAATATTTTCAGAGCAAACATTTACTTGTCGAGTCGAGGTATGAAATCTAATATTTTTGGAATATTTTACTAGCACGAACAAGGGTGATTCAAAATGGTCAATTTAATAATGACGTTTCACCAAAATGACGCATGAAATATACACCCGCCATAGAACGCGAATAAGCGCGTGACCTAAACTACGCTGCTCGCGGCCTGATACCATTTTATACATGTAGATGTCAAACAATATGTGACAGCTTGGAAAATGTATTCTTCTCAAAACGTCAGTTGACTGATATTTAACCATTGATCAATAACGAAGAAATACTATCCACCACTCAGTCATCACTTTCATTCAACTTGGGCGATGAGAACGCGTTTATTCGTCCCGTCACAGACAGACTTGTCGATTTCCTTTCATGACTAATTACACGAGCGTAGCACGAAGAAGAATGAAATCCATATTTCACATGTGAATCCCTAATTATACACTGTTGCAAACATGCTTCGAAAATCGTGATTTGCAGTTTTTATTTCTTTTTCTTTTTTCTTTTCCAATATCTCGCACAGTGAGAATGATGGACAATGCCCAATAGCGTCAACGTGGTTATTAAGCTAACACTGTCAAATATAAATGCAATATCGATTTGCAAATGTAATTATAATAGATATCATACAAAAGAAATATGACGTCACACTTTCCATCAGTGTCACGGTGTCGCCATTGTGAACAATACATTCGCATCTCTATTCTCATTTATCACATCACTCGTTGAAGCTTCGTACTTTCGGATTCGTAACCCCTCTTCTGATAACATTATTTATATTATGTCTGTTTGTCGGAAAAGGACAACTACAATAGCTATAACTGAATCAAGACAGTATACGCATGCGCAGAAACTTCTAGGTACCCGAAGTGGTAAATTTCAACCACTTTCATTGACTTCCGGATGTAATTGTGGAAGCCCAATTAAATTAAATTAATTAAAACGAAAAAAAAATAGTTCCGTAAATAAAAATTAATGTCATACAAGCTTTGTTTCGCGACTAGTCTCTATCATAATAATCATATAATTATCCATGGCCCGCCATTGCCGAATTATGTGGGTTCAATAGAAGGACTCCAAGGCTTCTTTAAAATCTAGTGTATATGACTGGCAGGGATAGAACGGTCTTGCGGGAAAAGATTAAATTGGGAATCTGTGCATTTTCTGGTCAGTATTGCTCCCAATTTCACGTCTTGAGTGCATTTGCAAAACGGCGGGAAAGATAAATATCGCGAACTCCTGTAAATGAATAATAAACTTACAGGAATCGAGATTTACTCTCCCAAAAATCTTCATAATTTTCGAATAATAGAATCACATTGTTGTAATCAGGTAATTGCTTGCAAAATGCCGATATACGATATGACTTGAACTGACTCACATAATAATTTGCATAATCCTCGGTCACTATATGCTGAATTGGTTTAATGTATGTAATTTCGTTCACGGGTGCAATCCATTCAGTATTAATAAAGAGTTATACGAGACATACCAACATCTGGCAAAAAACAGATAAAACAAATCTTTTGGGCGTATTGAAAGATTAAAGCTGTCAGCGCGTCGGACATATGCATAATATCAGTATAACGTTCGCCATAAACTATGCATACATACGAAGACCAGTCGCCACGCAGCGCGCGATCGAATTTCATGGAAACTGACAATGTAATTTCCCCGCTCTCTATACGCCGTATTCAACCCATATCGAACGCTGTGTCATACAATGTTTTTACGGCTGTGTCACGTTATGCTGGCAAAGTTCGACAGAATAATTGTAAGTGCATTAACAGTGTGGCTACATTATACAATGTTTTCGTTGAAGATTATTAAAGCGGGGGAGTCGTCACCTGCGCATGCGTCAGATGGCCACAGCGTGTCATTGTTTACAAACAAGCGTCTATCCATGAGCCTTTGCGTTTTTAGCGTGTGTTGTCATTATCGCCGCTTGGGAATCAATTCCCACGCGTGCGCAGGTGACGACCCCGCCGCTTTAAAGTAAGTGCATATACCTCAA